ATATATATATATAGTATATGGCTAGACAAAGCTCAGATATCGTGTCCAAATAAAGAAGCATGTGTAATATGAGGTCTAAACATTTACAGAATTACAATATGAAAGTTTAAGTTATTAGTCTTAGTGCAGTTAATGATAGACACTGAAAGCAGAGCTGGTTAAAGTGAGTATCAATGCTACCTCTTTAATTTAAATTTTTTTGGTTTTGTATGCTGCTGGTGTACTCCACGATGCATTTCTGTCCACAGCAGTCAAGCAATAGAGCGCTTGTTTTTTTTATAAAATTGTCATCATTATTACCTTTAACTGAGTTCAACATACTTATATCATGCTTATATCATGTTTATATCATGCATATATCATGCATATATCATCAGCAGTAAAATATTTGAAATATTATGGTGGTTATGAAACTCCTTCAGTGCTGTTTTCTTTGTCTTTTTGCTCTATAAGGATTAAAATGTTAAATACTTTGCTCCAGACCATCAGACTTCTATAACTATTATTTGCATTTGTTCTCAGTCTGACTCCTACATACTGAACGACACGCAGCTGTCGACGATACCGCTGGACGAGTTTTCAGACGAGAGGGAAACGCCGTTTCAGGAGCCTCCTTCAGCAAGAGCGGCTCAGCAAGACCAAGGCTAATCATGTATGAAGGCCCATTCATGGGACACTTTCTAGTGTCCACTTAGACTTTGCTCTCACTCAGGTTGACAAGTGTTTCTTTTCAAAGTAGTATTTCCTTTTGTGCAAAGATTTTTATGGGTAAGTTAAGAGGTTCTGGAGGATCCAGGGAAGGTGTACGGGAGTGTTTTTGGCTGAGCTAGTTCTAGCTAGATGGACCACTTTTATTGCTGTATTTTTTTTGTGTCTTTCGTTAGTTTTCTGGTGTTGGGCAGCACAGAGACTGGAGACCTTTGAATGTTCCTGTTATACAACAACTTTATTTCTATAAGTTTGTGTATATGTCAACCCAGTCTTACTGCAAAATGTGAAATAGACACAAAACTTGATCTAATATCAGGTGGAAAAGTTGCTTAGACAGCATGTCTTTCCACTCTTCTCGCATTTTGTACAAACTACTGGCTACGCAGTTAAAGGTAAACTTTAAAATATCATTTCAACTCAAACTTTGTGGTAATCATAAGAAAAATGTCAAAATGTGGCTACTATCAGACATTCATATATCGATATAAAACAAAGTACGAGTTACAATAAACTAAAATTAGCAGGTTTCATGTTTCATGTGAAAGTATTCTGCTTTGTGACTATTTCATTTTTTAATGTGAGACTATAAATGTGCGTATGGGTTCTAAATTATTGGTCCTATTTCTACTTTTCTGTTGTTGTTAGACTCGTGCTGCCTGCTCGCCAGTGATTCCACCTTGTTACTCACAGAAAACCTCAACCTTCTTCCAGGGATTCAATATATTCTGTCTCAGGACTTTGTTTCAACATTTTTTATGAGTTCTTGGCCTTCATACTAGACTTGGCTGTGCGAACCTTGTGATTGAACAAAAAAAGAGAAAACCTACCTCAGCCGGAATGAATGTGTCGTGGGAAGTTTTAGGGTCTTTACCTTCCCTTGTGCTCGAAATGACTACAAATATGGAGGAACCAGCAGGTTGGACAACTGCGAGCTCAGGTGCTGCTCTACCTCAGATGTCCACGACCGTCGCTCCTGCTCGACAACAAAAAACGGACAAAAGATCATCCAACAGAAAGCACTTCCAAATGCTGAAGTTAATGTTCTACCTCACGATAACAAAATGTTGTCGCTGTTCTTGTTGTTAGTCTTTTTATTGCATAATGAAAGCCCTTCTTTGGGATGTGATGTTTGTAACGAGTCAGTTCTTCATGCAAGTTGACGACTGATCACATTATTTACCGTACGGTGACAATGTGGATGAATTTAAACTGGACACTTTCTTTTCTAGATGCTATTTTATTTTAAACATATTTTTATTTCTTGTCACTGGAGGTCAGTGGATGAAAAAAGACTGTTAGAGATTCGCTGCACGTCTTCGGGTGTTTTTAAAGATGATCGATGTGGGGAAATGTATTGATAGATGGGACAGGAAGCAGCATAGTTCACAGCTGTGATATGATCTGAGGTTTTAAATGATTGGCACGAATTGACAGGAATAACTAATGTGACATTTTAGAAAGTTTTGGCTTCTTTCTGCTTGTTAAATGAAAAGATTAACACTTTTAATTTCCCCCTTAAAGTGGTAGAAGTTGTGTGATCGGCTCAGATTAGCTAATCTCAGCTAAAATCAGAAATGTGGTTTCCAAATTCATAATTGTGCAAAGATTAGTCAAACATGGCACGAGATTATTATTCTTAAACTCTGGGTAATCTTTTAGGATTTTTTCAAGTAAAGTTATGTCTTTATTCAAAATACAAAGTTACAATCTTTAGATTGTAACTTTGTATTTTAGCGTAGATGTGAATGGATCGTCATCTCTGTAGTGATCTGTTTTTATATTCATAACAAATAAGAGTGGTATTTATCTGGTCATGGAACTCTTTGCCAGAACGTACACTGGTATTTGTGCTAACATATATTTCCATCAAACACAATAATTTTTCGAACAGTAGCAACAAACATTGAAATGATTCATTCAGTCAGTCCAAGTCAGTGCAGTGTATCTCTAAGTCTTTTTGATCATGTGTTGTTGCCGTACTCTTCATTACTTTGATCATATCTCCACCTTTCTTTAAAGAAACCAGTAGCCTTTCACTCATCTGGTGCCCAGCACACGAGACAACTGCAAATCTTGCTCGTCTGCTCTAATTCTTCCCAAAACGACAATAGCTGATGATTCGTCTCCCTCCTGTCGACACTGAACCACCTGGTTCTTCAGGAGCATCGTGTTTGTACTCATGAGATGCTGACGACCACAGGCAGGCGCTGGAAGAAGGAGACTGACGACCGTAGGCCTCTCTCCACAGCTTCCCGCTCTGTGCCGTCAGAACACTGCAGAGGAATCACTTTCACAGTTTGGTTACTACCTCAACCATGTGTTGGCCTTCTCTCAGGTCCAGATGAAGGAAACTACAGGATGTGAAAACAGTGATAAAGAGCAGAAAGAACTAGTCGAAATGCAGCAGCTGTGATTCTCATAATGTCTCAGCAGACACAGGAACTGTCAGACGCACAAACGGAGGGAGAACGTTCCCTTCATGTCATGCACCAACTATGAGAACAGTTCAAACTCAATTCTAGCAGTTGCAAATATGTATCATTGTTTTTTTACATATAACAACCTTTTAATGTTGTTTTATGTGGCTGAATATTTTATTGTGCCAAAAAATCTGAAAGAACGTGGGTGACACTTACAACTCTGCCACTTCGATGCTTTGTTGAGTTTTCTTTCTGGCTCAGCCTCATTAAGTACCGGTACTTAAAAAACTGCAATGACTGAAAAAAAATAAAAGCTGGAAATACATTCTTACATAAACACATTCAATTTGATCTAAATTTTATTTTTTTATTTTATTTGTAATGCTATATATATTTTTTTTTTTCAGTTCAGCCGGATCATTAAAAAGGTGAACGTTTGCTTCATAACATAAATGAGTTGTTTGTGTCCCCTCTTTGAGTCATTTCAATGTGTTATGCAAACCAGCATTACCGTACCGTTCTGCACACCTGTTGGTCTTCGTACTCGTCCTAGATTATATCTAATTTTATGCCTTTGAAATTTGTTCTGATTTTTATTTTCATTCAGATGTTCTTCTTTTGTATTTAATTGTTAATATCACTTTGGAAGTGCTGGGCAATGTAAGGTGCATTTATCTCGACCTCCAGTCAAACCCAATGTCAGTGTCTCCTCTGTGCATATTTATTCAGTACAAGTGTGATGGTTTCCACCGTGCACGGCTGCTGCAGCCCTGATCAGTGTTTTTCATCTCTGCTGAAAGTACTTTCACTAGGGATTCACGTGGTATGTTGTTTTTTTGTACTCAGTTTCCTGGTTGTAATTGAAGGTTAATCTCTGCCTCCAGGAAATGCTCACCCCTGTAGATGTGGCAGGTCTGAGTGCCATCCCTGATCCACCAGGAACGTGGTTCAGGGATGATCACGTTAGCGTGATGGGACGTTGATAAGTCGGGTTGTCATGTTGCAGTATAATGTAAGAACTTTGATTTAATGAGGTGCTCAGACTTGTCTGTCTGCGACTGCATCTCCATCAGAGAGGGCTCTTGTGCAGGTTCAGCTGGTGGTTTGTTTTTGCCCTGTTTGAGACCTGAGAGGTGCTCCATCGTCAGACGCTGCTCCAGTCACGTAGCTCAACTTTTCAGCTCCTTGTTTGAGGATCCCGGTCAATGGTGAAGAAGGTTGTACGCTCAGGGAGCTGCTGATCTTTGCGTTTACGTACCTGGACAAAACTGGACTCGTGCTGTTGGTTTTCTTCCTAAAATTTGACATTTTGCTCTGGTTTGGTACATTTGATCTAAACAGCAGCTACTTCTTTTGGCCATCTGAGTGAATACGAGGCAAAACAGTAAAATGCTTATTAGCTGCTCTTTATTTGTCCAGTCAGCGAGAATCAAAGAAAAGGAGCGTGTGTCAGTAAGTTCACCTGCCTCCAAAGCTCATGTAATAAACTTACAGTTGCCATGGGCTAAAAAACACATAAAATGGTAATTTGAATTTTAAAACCTCTAATTTAATTAAAATACTTGTTGCTTTTATATACTGTATCTTACAATTTATTAGACTATATATATATATATTCTGGTTAGGAATGAGAATCTAACTTAGACTGAGCTTTAGAAAAATGTGCAAAATTTGTGGGGTTTTTTACAAAGTTTGCTGAAATTTAATAGATTGATAAATCAGTTTATTATAGGCAATGACTGGTAGAAGAATCTGTGATCAAACAACATTAATTAAAGGTTAATCAATAAATAATTGGCTGCTGTATTTCACCCTCAGGTTCTCGTGAGCTGAGCGTTCAGTCAGTTTCTCTCTCCTATGATCGTCACTTTCTTTACTTATTCTGCATTTTCTAATCACAGGTGAACAGATTAAGTCTAAAAGAGGAATTAGGATTAGACTGACTAGATGGAAGTTTTGCTAAATGACGACTGTGAGTGTGTCTGTAGTTCATGGCGAAGAAGAAGTTCAACAAACGGAAGTGTTAAGACTCTTTCCTTTTCTTTCTCTCTCTGAAAGTTGCCATAAGATGCAATCAACCGTTTCCTAAAGCACCTGGACATTAATCAGACCAGCGCCCAACGACCGCCCTGATACCATGTGAACTGCTCACAGTTCCAGTGAATTCCCCTCCCTGTGCTGGTTTGAAACCACTGATCGTACGTGTCAAATACTTCTGAGTCACAGTTATTCCAAGTACTTTGCTGTCAGATGGCGTTTAAATGTTCTTAAATGTTCCAGATCAGTGATTTATTTTACACTCTTTGTTCTAGAAGACGGATTGAACCGTGTGTGTTTAAAGGTAGTAGGCAGAGGAAAATCTACAGTAGATCTGCATGAAAAGAGCAAAACAACAAAAAAACTGACGTGGTATTTGAGCTCAACTGAAAGTGTTGGTTAATTCTTATTGGACGTGATGGTAACACTGTGATATTCAGCCAAAAAAAAAAAAAGGCAAAAATAATGTTGTGATCTCAGTATGGTACTATTGATGGTCCTGTCTCACATTGTTGGTCGATCTGTTTTAATGGTGTGTATCGATGAAAATACGCTGAGTGACCTTTTCAGTTGACAAAGTCTGTCTTGCCCTCGGTGGCGCCTGATGATCACCTCATCCTCATCCTGCTCCCACCTGACATCCTGTCTCAGGGTGACGTCCTGTCAGTCTTTACA